TCGCGTGATAGGGCTGAACTTTCATAGATCGTGCTACTATATTTCAAATCGCCGAAGGGACCCGTTATTTATTTAACAGACCTTGAATAGGTATGTAGAGATTCGCGACAAATTTGGAAAATTCGTTCAGGAATGTATCCAGATTTCTGAAACCTGATCGATTAAATTGTTAAGATAGTAGGTATATGTATGTTTGCACGTTTCGTTTACCTATACTTGAATGGAATTCTATCAACGTTCGGTTATCTGTAAATTACATCAGAAGGAAATGTGTTTAACGTGACACGAATGTCAATAATTGATTAATTTTATCTTAATATATAACTCACGATCGATACTATTAATGAAAATTATTAAATAATCTTACTATCTATCTAATGGCTGTGTTTGATAATCGGCTAATTATTAATTTTAATGATCTATAAAAGTATTTTTATAACGAACTTGAAAAAATTTAAATATTTAAAAAAAAAATAAATATTGCATTTATAAAATATATGTGAAAAAGAAATTTATTATTTAACCAAAAGAACTGCTAATTTTCAATACAATCTTGATTTCTTATTAATAAATTCGTCAAATATGAAGAATTTTATTATTATATCCATGATCGAAACATCAAAAATCCTTGTTAATTCAAAATTCCAAAAAACAGGACAATAATTGGATACATTTTTATTTAATTTCCTAAAGAATTTTCAAATTTTCTACGAATCAAAAAATACGAATATATGAAACAAATATACGAAATCCATGATAACTAATACTACATTTTCAAACGTAATTTTCTCGATAATCATTATAATAAATACAATGAATTAAGAAAATATAAAGATGATTATATAAGAAGTTCATGTTTCATTTAATTTTTTTCAATCGTTACGTGTCGTATTATGCGTAATAATTTTCCATGCGAAACGCGAAACAAGGATCTCGTTGAGAGGAAAAATAACGAAGAAATAATAAAAATAAGTAACATAATACAGCATATGCACAAAACAACCTGATCATCCAACTTCTCCACTTCCTGTCGATTGACTTGATATTACTAAAGCGTGCACGTTATCGCAATAAATGATCTAACAAAACTGAGAACAGCATATATTTTTCTATTTATTGCCATAAAACCGAGCGCCGTTTTCTCGAGAAAGCTCTGCTTAAATGAATTTTAAAATTTCGAAATGAAGAAATGCATTTATTCTATCTTCTCACGACCGAGAGTTTCTAAACTGAACTGAGCTTTATGTATTAAATAAATTATTTTTATTATTCTATAAATGTATTTTTTTTTCGTAATTCTGTTGTACAAATATATATTCCATCATGAAAGTTATTATACATAATATATATACTCCTATGATATTGCTTATCAAGATGTGAAACGTTAATAAGAAGATGAGAAAAATAAATTATATCATTAATAAATTATAAAAACTTTCAAAAATTATTATTCTATTTAGAATTCTAAAACAAAGAATCGATATATTTAATACTGTATTAAAAAATCTTACGACTAGAAATAAATGTTTAAATTCATTATATTTTTTTTCTTTTTAATTTATGTATGATTAAATTGTATAATAAATTTCATTTCAGGATCTACAGTTTACGAAATATATATCTATACATCAATTTCTTGTAATTAAAAAGAAAGGAACATGAATCAAATGAATAAAATATTGAAATCTATCCCAAATATATTTTGCACAATGGAGCTATTTAGATGGAAATTTCCGATGAAGAAATATCTGTATCCGATTCGTTGGAAATAAAAAAACCTTATTACTTGAAATTTCGCACATGTCAAAGTAAATTTCCTACCATCAATTTAATATTTCATTCATAATTTAATTATTTTAGAATAAGAAAAATATACGTGTAAAAAAATTTGCTAGGAAAAATAAAACGAATTAAATTAATCCTAACAAAGTTTACTATCAATAATATCTTATTATAATTATAATATTTCTGGATATATTTTATGTTAAAAAAATAATTCCAGTAAAATATAAATTATAAAAAGTCCAATGAAATCTCATCATACCCTCCTTAATTAAAATGTTCACATCTGACATTTCTTCTATTTTTCAAGATATATTTTAAATCATTCTAAATTCTACGTATCCTTTTACTGTTAAAATTAGAAAATTCTATTTTACTTATAAAAACTTTTCGCAAATATAACGTTTCTTCTAAGATATTTTATAGAAGATAGAAGAAAGGCAAAAATTTTAAAAAGAGAGAGAGAAACGCTCGAACGAGAAAAAGAAAAATCAAGAACTACAAAATAAAGATATTTTTCTCTTGTTCAACGAGGAATAAAAAGAAAGGAAGAAAGAAAAAAAGAAAACGCGAATGACGTCGATCGTGTCGCTCATAAATAAATTGTAAATGTATGAACAGATTTCGTGCTCGAGTAGCCAAACGAAATGTATGGCGCATCGTTACGAGTCAGTCCGTGCCGAGAATTTTCATTTCATTCAACCAGGAACATCCCCTTTTCGGCTCATTGCCGCCTATCTCTTTTCCCTATGGCACGCAACATCGAGCTTTCTCTAATAGAGCTCTTAAGCCTCGAAACTTGACTTTATCGATATCAATGGCGTGACGAGGTGTACATAGTAAACGTGAGCCAACCTTAACGCGGTGCATGGATAAAATGATGAGGAAAAAATGAAAGGATCGAATCGTTCGTAATTCGAGAGATCTATTGGCCTTCGTTTCACAGAGAGATTCGTAACGAGCTTAAGCACGATATATAAAAAAATTGTATATACTTATAGAATGAATTAATACATATAATTTTTCATTTTTACGTATTTATATTTCTATTTAATCGAAAAATATATATTAATTATAATATATATTTTAATCAAATTATTTATATATTTATGCTTGTAAATATTATATTTAAATATTTCAAATTTATCAATTTAATTGAGTTATTTAAACATTTTAATATCTATTTTAATTTTTTTACAGAAATATAATCATATTGAGAAGCATAAATAAATAAATAATTAAATGTAAATTTAAATATTCAACCTTCACAATTTGGAATATTTTAATAAATAAATAAATGTTCAATGGCAATAATAAGTCTTGCTCAATAAGTCAAGAAAAGAATGATCTTTCATAAGTGCAACGTTTAAGAAGCAACTATTTATCGTAAAATACGAGTTGATTAATCAATTAAAAGGTTAAACGAACATTGCGTTGTCGAGACACTTAAAGTTCTTCTGAGTCATTATATCAACATCAATAATGTTAATATTTCATGTCAACGTTGCAAAACACGAAATATTATAACAATTAAAAAAAGAACACAAAATAATACAGCAATTAAAAATCTTTTGAAAATTCTCTTTATCTGAAACAACGATAAAATTCAAATTTTACAATAAATTTTAAATAATAAAATAAATAAAAAATAACATATTCTTTAAAATCGAATAGAAACATTCGAACAAAAAAATTTAGATTAAATACGATATTCCAGTCTAATAAGGAGAATACATTTTTTTGAATTATTTTTTGTTGTAATCTCCATAGTTAAGAAGATATATTCGACCAATAACGTAAATCCTCAGAACAATTATTAAAATTAAAAATATCATTAAAATATGTTTCCCGTTGTTGGATTAAAAGTTTCTGAGTCATTATATCAACATCAATAATGTTAATATTTCATGTCAACGTTAGCAAAACACGAAATATTATAACAATTAAAAAAAGAACACAAAATAATACAGCAATTAAAAATACTTTTTTGAAAAATTCTCTTTATCTAGAAACAACGATAAAATTCAAATTTTACAATAAATTTTAAATAATAAAATAAATAAAAAATAAACATATTCTTTAAAATCGAATAGAAACATTCGAACAAAAAATTTAGATTAAATACGATATTCCAGTCTAATAAGGAGAATACATTTTTTTGAATTATTTTTTGTTGTAATCTCCATAGTTAAGAAGATATATTCGACCAATAACGTAAATCCTCAGAACAATTATTAAAATTAAAAATATCATTAAAATATGTTTCCCGTTGTTGGATTAAAAGTTCTTAATTGCAAGCTTCGTTAACCAGAATCTATAGCATCGAATGCTTGAATTGCACTCTGGAGAATTTTATTGTTAGAATACGAATATCTTCACGCTCACAGATCGATTTTATTATGATTTCGTTATTGGTCAGACTTTTCGCATTTTTCTATTTTTTTATGGCGCGACGAAAGTCGCGACAATCATAAATTTAGTCAAAGATTAAACAATTTTGAATAATGGTGAAAGACTCCTGCATATCAAAAGAAATATATAATTCTTTTTTCACAAAACAACAAAACATTGATACATTTCTAATAAAATAGAAAGCTCATCTTTATAAGCTTTATTAAATGAAAACATTCTCGATATTCTACGATTGAGATGAATAATTTTCAGAATCTTGTTTTTTTCATGACAATATCGTGAAGCTAAATCGAGAAAACAATGAAAAATAGCAATTAATTTCTTGTGAATTTTAAATACTTTTGAATACATTCAATTTTTATGAAAAATTATTTTTTCTTAAATTAATTTAAAATCTATTAATCCGATAATAATACAATATTAAAAATCTCCAAAAATAACTTTACTATCTATTCTAATTCTCAAAAAACATTTTAAGAAATTTTTACGATAAATTTTTATCATTAGGAATGTCTATTTATTCCAATCCTCTCTGTTTTTTTCCACAGTAATTAAAATTTACTAGAACATATGTTTTTCGCGCAAAATTATATTTCAAAACTATTATATTCAAAACTAGAATTATCTTATATTTCTATAGAACTATACTATACTATACTATACTATAACGTATTTTATTTGAATTAAAAATTAATATTCGATATTCTATATAATTATATATTTTCTCATATAAATCATAATTAACATGAATATTTATCTCATATCATATACCGGCAAATGTAAAAATAAATATATTAATTACTTACCACCGTTTTTCCCATCTTCCTTTGCTTCATCTCCAACCGGCTGGACACTTTCCTTGCTCGTGTTGCACCCCATTTTCACTTATTTGTTCCTATATTTCTATCCTCCAATCACAAACGCTGTTACTTGAAACACTTATCGTATAATGCGCGATTACGATCGGCTAAGTGCTCTTCTCGTTAACATTGAGTCAACATCAAATTCAGATTATAAGAAAACTATTCGTGTGCACTAAAAGAATTATTGATACCTCGACAAGGACGAATTGAAAAGATCACAGTACAATATTTTCAAAATGTTCGTTTTTCTTCTCGCTAGAGGTTAACGACACGTCGTAGTACCGGTATTTCGTTGGAACGAAAATACAATGATTCTTTGTGATTGGTCAAACTGGACGTATCGTAAATTTGATCGCAATTCCTTCTGTTCGTGAATTTAACAACCGGTTAAGAAAAATATATATGTATATATGTATATACTATATATTAAAACACTGTACAAAAGCTACTGCCGGTGAACACTAAACGCTATTCTACGAATATATCACGAACACAATTCCCGTCGGCGTCACGAGGCGTACTGACTACTGACACTGCCGACGACCCTGCCCTTGCGTCGCGAGTCGCGACTACGCGAGTCGATATAAACATTCTTTCGCGGTTCTATATACGTACATATATATAATTGTATACGTGCGAAACCTATAATAATGTATACATCTATTACGCATTTTACATAAATTTAATTTTAGATAGATAAAAATTAATTGAAATTTGATTTTAAATTCTTACAAAATTTTTTTAAATTCCCACAAAAAGTGTATCGTTTTCATCGTACGCATCATCGGTCAACTTCGCGCCACTCCCAATTTTCATGTAATATCCAAGAAGAAAATAAGAATTTTCGTAAGATTCTATCGATTTCATAAACGGATACTTCACTTGGTTACTTTGTTGTATTGAATCGACAAAATCGGTGGCAGACAGGCGCCAACAATTCTCGTGATTTTCCTGTTTTGTGGAACGAATATCGATTTTGTAGTTTTGATAATCCTTCACGATTTACCGCCGTTGGTGATTCATATTTCACAGACATGGCTTGCACATTTGTTTGCGTTTCACAGTTGCGTGACTCGTGCTGAGAACTGACAAATAGCTTTCGGTATTTTTAATGCTCCTTTGGCATATACAATTTTTTAAATACAAAAAAATATTAACAATAAGAAATAATAGTGATTTTTTTAAATATTTTTGAATATATAATAAAAATTGTATTTTATGTTTTTAAATGTACAAAATATATATTTAATTCTAATATTGTAAACTAAAATATATAAAGCAGTAAAAAAAAAAATGAGACGAATTTAATTATTTTATTTTTAACTTTACTGAAGAATTTAATAATAAAAATAGACAAGGTAATGAATTTTCCATAAATATTAAAATATTAAAAAATATTGATAACTATGATTGCTAATAATAAAAACCATAATTTAATCTTTTCAAAAATTTTTTGAAACAACTCAAAGGATATTTAAAGTAATAATTTAAAATATATACAATTTTATTAAAAAAGAAAAAAAATGTGCAATAATAGGTTAAAATCATATATTCTATATTCTTATCTTTTTATTTATATTTTTAATTCATTTTATATTCTTCAATTTTTAATTTTATAATATGATAATTAAAAAATAAAATAAAATAAAATAAAATGGAAACATGTACATTTCACATGTCAGAAGTGCTCCATTTATAAGCTTCTTCTTGGCGAGCTACTTTTGCATTTTGCGCTTCAAACCATCGTTTTTCATATCCATTACTTCTATCAACTCCATCCCATCTATGACCAGGTTTAATACCAAAACGATTTGGCATGAATGATCCTTCATATTTTGGTGGATCTAAAAATATATAATTATATATCAATTTAACATTTATTAGAATTAAACTTAAGAAATCCACAATATTTTACCTGGTTTTCTCTTTCCTTCTTTTATCTGTTTCTGTTTGATATATTCTAACATAGGATCTCCTTCTCTTTCTTGTTCTCTAAGTATTTTATCCAAATCAGCATCATCTGCATATCTTGCTAAAGGTTTACTCATTTCGTAAAGATCATCTTTCAATTTTTCTTCGTGATCTTCAACTTGTTTTAAACTGATATAAAATAAACGTTTCTTACAAATTTTGAAAAAATAGAAAATAATTTTTTTTGAATTCTATATAACTTACCCTTTCCCCCATTTAGCATATTTTTCATCTAATTCCTGTTGCTGTTTTTGTCTTTCGCGTTCTTCTTGTGCTTCTACTTCTAAGTTTCGTTTTTTACCTGTTTTAGTGTCACGTATAACTACTGCTTGACCAACTCCTGTAACTTCTTTACTAAGCTGAAAAAAATACAATTTTGTAAATTTTTATAATATATAAGAAATAATATATAGTAGAATATAAAATTTGCTTAAATACTTTGCTAAAATGTTCAGCTTCCCGCTTTTTATATGCTTCTGTTTCTTCTCGCAATGCTTTAGCATCTTGTAGTCCTGCTTTTTTTCCATCTAATGTTTTCTTCATTTGTTTGTTACTATCTTCTTCTTCAATATTTTTATATTTTGATTTGTTTTCTTCAAATATTCTAGAATACAAATGTTCATCATTTTTATATCTCTTCAAAATTTTCATTTATTGCAAAAAATATGTTAGATTATTGATTATTAATCGAAATTTTTAATTAATTAAAAAAAAAAAAGAAAATACAAACGAAACTAAAAATAATATTTAGAAAAAATAATAAGAGAATTTAAATATTAAAGAAATATTAAATAATTAGGATTAATATTGAAATAATATTTTTTGTGCATAATATTTTAAATCATAATCATACCTATTTGATTTAGATTTATAAAAATCTCTATCATTTCTTCTAAATCTATTCGGACTTAAACTGTTTCTGTTTCTTTTTGGAGGTGGATTCATATCTGAATCATAATATCTCTTATCTGATTTAAAATTTTTATAAGAATGTTTATACATTCTACTTGTTTCTGCTTTTTCATCTCTGTATCTATGCCATTTTGATTCATAATTTCTATTTTTATTTTTATCATTCACATAAATGTTTTCATTGCTTTCATATTTTCTTTTAGATGAATTAAATTCAGAATTATCTCTTGTTTTATGCTTATGCTTTTTACTTTTTCTTGGCGGACTTAGATCTGAATCAGAATCTTTTTTATTCTTCCTAGGAAGACTCATATCTGAATCAGAATCATTATTCTTTCTAGGACTATCTGAATTAGAATTTCTTCTACTTTTTCTAAAAGGACTCATTTCTGAATCACTTTTATGTATTATATTTTTCTCAGATTTATATTTTTTACTCTTTCTTGGTGAATTTATATCTGAATTATAATTTTTAATTCTTCTAGGTGGACTAAGATCAGAATCATCTGATATTTTCTCTTTTCTTTTTGTCTTTTTTTTAATTTTATGAGATGGAACATCTGTTTCTTGATTGCTATTATCATCACTATTATTTTGTGGAGATTTACATTTAGAATTAATATGACTTCTAGATTTTATTCTAGGTGGACTTAAATCACTATCTTCATCCTTTTGTGTTTTTTTATTTCTCTCATCTTTGGAACTTTTTGATATTCTTGGAGGAGATAAATCATCATTTGAATATTTCTGTTGTATCTTTGATGGACTTAGATCATCATCAAAAATTTTCTTAACTTGTTTAGATTGTTTGTTGTCTTTTGCCACACTAGTGATGGTTAAATCACCACTTTCATCATTAGCTATAATTTTCCATCTTCTTTTATCACTAAAATCAACTGGTCCATGTTCATCCACTACACCGGCTATTTGAGGTGCATCTTCTGCATTGATGAAAATATCAAATTCATTCTCTTCAATTGGTCTTATATTCTTCAAGTCTATGTCATCATCAATGATTTTTACTCTGGAAAACACATCTCAAAATTTGTGGAAAGAAATAAATATAATTTTTAAAAATACTTTATATTGGTTTGAAAACCAAAATTGAAATTCCTTTTTGCATTAAATATATCTTCCATATTAATATAATAAGGAATATATTAAGGAAATAATAACGAATAAAATACATTTTCTTTTTACTATTTATCACATAAATTTTCTAAATATTATATAATATTCAAAATGTTTCAATTTAAATATCCAGGAAAACGTGTAAAACAACTACTATAACCTAAAACACAAGGATTTACTGTTGAAACTGTCACACAAATTATAATATTTACAATTTAAAACTTACGTTTTTGCTCCCAATTTCATTTTTTTCTTTTTCTTTTTTTTCTTATCATCGCCATCTCCTGAAGACAAGTATTTTTTCAAATATTCTTTTTGGTCAATAAGTTTCTTCTCCATTACTAAAGCATATGTTAGCGCGATTGATGTTAGATATTATAATTTTACTATATTCTTTAATATTAATTATATGAGAATATTAAGAACAATGTAAAAATATTAAAAAATGTAACAAATATCGAGAATACAACTATAATCAATCAATTACAGCTATAAACTATGAAACTAATGGCGAATAACAAAATGACGACTGAGCGATTGCGCGGTAATCAATAGAGCGATTGCATAGATTTGTCAAAAAAAGCGGTAAATCTAATGATGTCTTTCTTTAAATTTTTATTTTTATAATGTAATATATCTTATATTTATTATTAATTTAACATTAATTAATGATGAAATGTAATTTTTACAATAAATGTAAATTTGAGCTATAAGTAATTTTTTTCTAGATAGGATACAATAGAATAAGAATTGTGAATTAGCGCCATCTCTTGAATATTTTTAAAAGAATCTTTTCAAAGTACTCAAGAGATGGCACTGATATTCAATTCTAATTCTATCTTATCTTATTTTTAAAGAAATTTCTCTAATACTCAAGAGATGGCGATAATAGTCAATTCCTATCCTATCTCTATCTTTTTTTTCTTATTTACTATCCTTTTTTTTTATGTTTCATTTGGGGCACTCTAGAGATGGCGCTGATTTCACAAGTTGTAACTTATCTCTGTCCTTCTTCCATTATTTATTCTCCTTGTCTATATTACTAACGTGACTACAGGCATCAATTGAGCATATTTTTATTTTTCTTTTTAAAATTATAATCTATATTAATTTTAATTAAAAAATATATATTATATTCTCGATTTTAGAATATATTTCTAAAATAACGACTTTGCAAACATAATATTTTTTGATATATATAATATATATGATTTCAATATTTGACACTGATCGATAATAGTAGTAGAATTTAAACAAATGAAAATCTAGTTCTGCAATAAAAAAGTAAGTAAGAATTATTCTATTAAAAAACGACATTGTCAAAAATTCATTTGTTGAATTTATTTTTTTGCTATCTTGTGAAATAAATTATTAATTGTTCAAACATTTGAATATGCAAGAAGACTTAATATCATATAATTTGATTTTAAAAATTATTCATGAATATCAATTATCATGAATATTATATTCATCTTAATGCATATTCATTATACTCGTAAAAAGTAATATCTATATATTTATACATATAATTTTCATTAATTGATTAACTTTCTGATGTATTCATGTATTGTACTGACCTTATCGACTGAGCACATTTGGTCACGGGTTATGAAGAATGATCCAGGATATATTAAAAGACGTTAAAAGAATCTTATCGAATTTATTCATCGATCCTTAAATACTTTTCATTTAACAAAGTGTATAACAATGCAGCAAATCGGGACGATTTAATCCAGACTAAATATACAAGAAACTGGAAACAGTACAGAAATTATCAGTGAAAAAAATGTGAATAATTACGTCGATTGGAGGTGGAAACAACAGAGGTAGGGGAGCGAAAGTGAACACAGGTCCAAGAATGGGCAGGGAGAGACAGGCTCCTTGAGCCTTCATCAGAAAGTTTGACAAATTATAACGTAGGATCATCATTATTAACGTTTTCACTCAATTTGACAAAGTATCAGAATCTACATTGAACTCAACTACTCAAAAATTAACATAAAGAAAAACATATGTGAAAAATGAAAGTGCAAAAATGTGATTGTTCAATCAAGAAAAGCTTGGCTAGAAGAGTGAGATTCCCGTGACGTTCTAAAGAGAGAAACGTAGCGTGTGCAAGGTTATGAGTGTACTGTTGATGTGATCCAGTGTGTGCCAGTGATTCTCACTGACGACATGCCTGTGGTCTCTGTTGCAAAAAATTTTGTATTTGCGACGGCTTGGTGCATAATCAGTTACCACGGAGTCGTTCTAACGTGAACGTGATCTGTCATCTCTATCGCTGATTCTTGAATACTTTATATGAAATCATGACGCGAAAGCTGAGCAAGTTTTTAATACTTTTTGACAACACAAATCTTTTATATTTTCCCGGTCACTTTTTGTCCGGTCGAGTACTCATTGAATTGGATGATGAGGCTTAGTAAGTATATAGAATATGCGAAAAATCACACGAAATCTGACACATGTAATTCATATGTATATTTTTATGAAATTATTTTAAATTGAATTGATAAAATGAAGTTATTTGTGAGATAAATAAAGCAAATATTTTATTATACTTGAATGATATATATAGTGATTATAGTAATTATGAAATTATAATGAATAAATAATTGTACTTTTAAAATATTAAAGATCACGTGAAAATGTACAATTTAAATAATTATATTTTATCAAATTTATATTATCACGACTTTTTTCTTTATTGTAAATTAATATAAATAACATGATGTTTTTAATAACATGATTGAATAAATTACAAAAAATTATTTATACAGATTAATGAACATATGAATTATATATTGTTTAATTTATTTTCGTTTCTTGTTCGTAATTTTTATCTAATATAATAATTAATAATAATTAGTAATAATATTCCTCAAAATATTAATTTAACACAATAATTTCTAAATTTTAAAAATGACTTTCTAGAAAATGTAATTAATTATTTATACTACATGCAAGATCAAAATAAATTTTTCTCATTTTTAATCCATATCATCCTTTTTATTAATGATATATCTTTAATTTTACTTTTAAAATTAAATTCATTTCTTTAATTTAATAACATTATAATAATTTATTTGACATATGACAGCGTTTCAGGATTGCATTTTCATGTAATTGGTGAAGGAGTGGTGCGTTTACGTAGTCAACGTGCTGAAAGAGTTTACGACAAGGAAAATTATATAGATTTTCGTATGAGATTACTAGGCGAACCAGGTAATGAAAAGAAATAGCATTACGGTACGTCTAATGTAACTATTAAGATGAAACGGGCACAATGTAGTTCATGATGAACCTTGGATAGTAAGTCCGCGATAAAGAACATCTTAATAGATAAATTAACTTGACACTAGTTTATATAAATATTCTATTTTATTTGATAATTAAAAAAAGTCTAAGATAAATAAAATTTTTAACAATTATTATTGAATTAAAAATATTTAAAGTCTTAAGGAGATTTGAGGAAATATATCTTTAAATATCTTTTAACTTATTATTTAATCAAAAACTTTTCAGTAATTTTTTTTTTAATTATTAGAAAATAAGTTAATTTTAATTACAATTATATAGATTTTAATTTATCAATGTGGTACAATTTGATTTAACACAACAAATAAATTATTAAAATGGAAATATTAGCAGCTCGAGATAACTTTCTCAATTGTAACAAGTGAAAAAAATAATGTATCATCGTGAAAGTCGTCGAATTTCATATCTCAATACTATTGTACAAATTTTTCCTTCGTGCAAACGGCGCACCTGCGAGCTACGCGATGCATAATAATGTCAAAACTGTTCTTTTTCGTTCTCTGTTGCGTACAACACCGGAATTCAGGAGAAGGACCGTCTTTACTATCACCGGGGATCCATAGCTTTCCATTCAAATTAGGTCTGCCCCTGGGCCTGCCATCTACTTTCTTGGGTAAACATGGCTGGGTACAATATTATTGCAAAGCTGCACTTCGAGAACCTGGCGGATTAACACATAAGAATCAGCAAGTCTTCATCGTGATGAATCCCATCGATCTGAATTTAGAACCACCAATTCTGGCAGTAAGTTTTTCTTTTCCTTTCTCTTTCTTTCTTTCTTTCTATGTTTCAATTTTTGCATTACAGATGATTTCGTTTCTCATATTTACTCATATTCTCATATATTCTTATTAAACAAGAAAAACATTAAAAACAATGGAGTTGGATAAAGAGATAATCAGGGTACATTTATTCAATGTTTAATCAATTATTGTTTTTACAATACTCACATCATTGGCGATGATTATATTTGTGTTTTAAAAAATATTTTGCTTTATAAAAAGGAATAAAAAGAAATTCCTGTTTTTAATATATGTCTGCTTGTTATTGTTACTTAATTTTTAACTAATAAAACAGATTTGGAATTATATTATTTTTGAAATTATAAAAATGAAAATTTATCACATTAAAGAATAAATATAAATACATATATACATAAATATTGATATATCTGCAAATTATGAAAAGAAAGTAGATTCAAAAATTATAATTTTTATTATTTTAAATTCTTACAATAAACTCATATAATAACTGTCATTTTATTTTAAAGGAATGCAATTTTATCTTTTTTAAATATTAATTTCTAAATTTAATTATTAAAATAACATATCAATAAAATAAAAGGATCACAATATTTATGAGACAGGTACTTATATTCAAATTTATAGTCAGCATGTTTGCACATAAGTGAACCCGTGATTCATACATTCCATTATTTTATGGTTTGGTTTGAACATCATTATTCGGCTTACGCTTTCTACGTGCAATTAGAACCCTGACACGTGCATCTTAAGTCGCGAAACATTGCCGGTCGGTTGATTTTATTGCAATTGAATGTAGCATTGCACACATAATGATTTAATTTGCAATTTCGTTTCACGCAATACGCTAATCTATTTTCTAATCATTATTTAAAACATATTGCTTTGATGAGTGAAACGAATAGTTATATATATAATTTTCACGCAGAAATAGAAAAACAATTTTAAAGAGTAATATTTATACAAAACCTATTTTAAAGATAAATAACTTTCTTTGTCGACAAAGATTTTGTAAAAAAAATAACTCTTTACAAAATAAGTTTGCACAAACATCAACTATCATTCATAGATCAACAAATAGTAAAACGATATAAAACTATCTTTTTTATCATTCATGTCATCAAAGAAATTATACACACATTAATACAATAACATAGAAATTAGTCACAGTCAGTTTGAAATAATATTCCAAGATTCTAAATGACTTAACACATTTTATGAACATTTAAAATCCACCACGAAAGCCGTCTCGTTAAAATGAAATAAGAAGATTTTTTCACGCACGCTTTCCTTCTTATGCATGTTATTAAAAGAATTCTTGGAGAATTTTAACATAACCGAGTTCTGAATAATGGTCACCGATTTACGTAGAAAGTGATTGTGATTATTCTGTATCTTTTCCATTTCCGATATCAATTTTATTTGCATCTGTTTTTGTTTCATAATAAAATTTCATAATGTTTTTTCTTTTATTTTTTATTGATATTTTATTACAAAAATATTCATTTTTTTTCATATGAAAAAAAATTATAACGAAAGAAAATTGAGAGAAAAAAAGATCTTGTAAAATAAATTAATTACATTTTTATTTTATTTGCAGTTTTATAATAAAATAGAAAAAGTAAAAGTAGATGTAATAGTAATTATAATAGAAATACATAAATAAATTAAACATATGTTGATTAATTAAAAATTATATTTTTTTTATCTTCTTATTATAAATTATTCCACATTTTTTATATCCCATCAAAATTTTTGTCATTTATTTTTTATTTATTTTATTACATCTTTTATTGATTCTTTCACAAATGATATTACAACATACATTACAATATAATTTATATTTGTTTAATCACATCCATGATAATTTAAGGAAGCAGTTTTCATTTAAACACACACATTTAAAACATTCTTTGCGTATTTTGTGGAAAGTAATTCTTGTTTATGCAGCCAAATAAATACGTTCACAACATAGCAAATAACACGTAACATAAGATAATTATTACGTAGGCACATGACATTCAGCTCTGAACGCGACCGCATTGTTGATTCAATTGTATAGTCGCATTCATTGCACACGCCTTGCATTGCATAATCGACAAGTCTTAAAGTGATAGTTGATAGTATCGATCTCCTTTCCCATGGAGAAATAATTGAAATTTAAGAATCTATAGATTGCTAAAGAACGAGATATTAATTCCTCGAGGAATGCCAGAAACACAATTTTTAAATTATAATATGCAAAAACATATTATTAAAAATATGCAATTCTTCAAAATATTTTTTTTTTTAATAGCAACCTGCAAGGCAAGAAATTGAACAACGAGTTGGAGTCTCCTGTGTTTCTGGTGGGCCTATATTTTGCAGAGTGAGTCTTGACAGAGGCGGATATGTGCCTGGTGAAACTATCGGCATCTCAGCGACTGTCAGCAATCGGAGCAAAGTATGTATCATATTTCGATTCGATGTCTAACTAAAAGAATTTCTATCGTGCAAGTAGGATCAGCACAATATAATCCTATCACAATGAAAGTTTAATAGCATAATTTAACAATTGTATAGTTAAAAAAAATATATCATTCTTGTATTGCAAGTTTCTTGAATGCTCTCATTATGCTTATCCTCATTATCTGCATCAAATTTTGTATTATCATTACAACCAATGAAATTTAAATGGATAATACCATAATGATACTATTATAAACAATACAACTATTATTCGCAAATGATGCAATATCCACATTTAAGTTTACACACAGGAATTAAAATGATTCAACAGGTGACGATGAAATCAACTAAGGCATCCTTGACCGAAACAATTCAGTACCTGTGTCGCGGTAAAGTACTTGCGAGCGAGACACGAGAATTGGCAAGTGTTTCTAGGGGGAAAATCCGTCCTGGAGAAGGCGAGGAATGGTTGAATGAACAAATGTATGTTCCTCCTTTACCACCTACCAATCTACGGGGATGTCATCTCATCAATGTTCTTTACCACGTCTATGTGAGTAAAAATGCCGTTACAATAATTATAATTACACGTAGCATGACTAATGCGTCGCACTCTTCTTGCACCAACATTCTTTCCACAAAAAAAAAAGATTCATTTAAGAAATTGACTTTCTTTTTTGCGGTTCTTCTTTTTCTTCTTTTTTATTTTTCTGTTATGAAAACGTTACTCGTTACGCTTAAACGTGATACGTTAAATATAATAAATCTCACTTTCGAAATTTTTCCGTAAATTTTTATTTCCAATGAAATTTTATTAGAATTATTTATATGTACATGCATATAAATGTTTTCTAATGTGCTGAAATAATATTCTATTTTGTACTACAGTTTATAATAAGTCCGAAGAGCTTGGATAAAGAGATTAAACTTCAAATACCAATCGTCTTAGCCACTTATCCCTTGAGACAGGAAGGTGCCCCAGCCGGAACTGCACCATCGAAAAGAGGAGCACATTATCCATCAACATTGCCAATATTTCGACCGTGGCTGGACGATAAAGCTTTTGAGATACAGGAGTGAAGGTTTAATTAACTTGCACTGATGATCTTGATATGTGGGTGTAATACCTTTTGATAAAAATCATACAGGAAATATTGCGATAATGTGATCGAAAATTTAAAAAAAATGAACTAAATCTTCGGAACAATTAATACGCTTATAACAATACTTATTTCAAATTAATCTTAATTAAATAAATAGATATATTTATATTTGTATAACTAAAAAGATTAAAAAAAGACGAAGATTAAAAATATCTATAAGTGACATATAGACAATATAATTACATTCCATTTTAAAATATTTGTTTACAATTAAAATTTAAATTTAAAAGATATATGAAATGAATAGAAATTTTTTATAATTTAAAAAATTTTAGATTTAAAAAAGTTAACAATATATATAATTTTTGTTAATATCTTGTAAATGTTTATGATAAGCTAGAAAATGTTATTTACAATATTTTAATATGTTTTTTTAATATAATATAATATAATAATATCTCATATATTTAAAAAAATATATAATAAATATTGTAAATAATATTTTTAATGAAAAAAAAAAATGTATGTAAAGAAAGCTTGAATATATTAGTAAATAACTTCATTAATGCATATATTTAATTTTTAAAATTAATATTATTAACAAATTATTTTTATTACTTAATAATTGTATAAAATCATTTTTTTATTCTATAAATTAAACATAATAAGCTGATGTGATTGCCATATTTATACCAAGTAAATATGACTTATCAAAAAAAAACATTATATATAAAAAATAGCTGTTATCATAATGAAAGAAAAAAATAATGTATTAACAGTAAATTATTATTACTTTCAAGTTTCAATCTCTCCCTTTAATTTTTCCAAAACTTTTTCCACTGATGTTCCAGATACTACTACAATCTTTTGTCTACTTTTAGATCCCTATAAAAAATAAGCGTTTAAATTAAAGACAAATTAAAAAGAAAATTAAGTATAATAAATATTGAACTAACTCTATCTAACGTTACATCGGACTTTTTCATTCCCAATACAGACGCTATATATTTCACGAGTTCCGTATTTGCTTCACCTTCAACTGGAGGTGCAGATATTGCGACACCTACTGCATCTTCAGAAATGTCTATAAAGAATATTATATATAAATCTGATTTTATCTTTAAGATTGATTCTACTTTAAAAATTGTATTACATTATCACCTGTTATATTGTTATGTTTCGCACCAGGCTTTGCTTGTATTTTTATCGCAACATTTCCATTTTTATCTATACTTATAGGTCCTTTAACTTCCTATCAAAATTTATCTATTCGTTATAATTATATATAAGAAAATATAATATATATAATATATAATTTCAAATTTTAATCATATATTTATTTAAAATATATTTTCGATATTAATCGCTTATTATTTTAATGTTTTAATTATTACAATGTTTAACAGTATTTACATATTTCTCTTTTAAATTAAACAAAAATACATATATATATTGTTAAATTAGGAAAAACATGCCATTTTTTTAACAAATCTAGTGAATTGCAAATATAATGTTGCCATTCTTGAATTCGCAAGCGACATCTAGTAATATTAAATATAAGTAAAAAGGTGTATGATAGAAAATGTCATGTTATTTTCTTAATAGGTGATCAAATCTCGATCACTCATCAAATTTCGATCCTCGTAGCCGGAAACGGTAAGATATGATTTTTGCTATTCACTGACCTCATTAACTGTAGCTTTTTGATTTTTTCCAGTTTTCTTTGATCCTTGTTTCGACATTTCACGAATATTCGTAAAATATTGCAAAAATTTTCTGTATAGATTTGTACTTCTAGAATAATACGTCATTTATAATTTATAAATCACTTAGACCATATTTTAATTTTAGTTAATTGTAACTAAAAATGATTTCGATAATTCTCTAACCTCAATAGCTTTGGCTGACTAGTACGTCTGCGCACGTGTAACAATACTGCCAACTAAATCATAGTGAAATACTATTTTACCGCGAATTTTTAAGATATTTGATTTTTTGCAAATTTTTTATTCAAGCTTAATATTGCGAATATTATAATTTATATTATTATTGTAATTACATAGATGATAATTAGAAACTTTATCAATGAATTATATTTATAATTTGTAGGTCAATATGCCGAAAAAATTCGTTGGTGAAAATAGCAAAGCCGTCGCTGCTCGGGCGAGAAAAGCAGCGGCAAAAGAGGCCGAGAATACAAAGAAAGCTCTTGAAGCAGAAGAAAAAGCTTGGCAAGATGACGATAAACAGTTATTGAAAAAAAACAAAAACAAGTATATGAATAATATTTATTTACTTTTATTAACTATATATTTATTATTTTTATTTTTAAATATTTTGAGAAATTCATTTTCATAGTAATTTATAATTCATTTTACAGGAAGAACTTGAAAAGAAACGTCAACAACAATTAGAAAAAAAAGCAGAAGTGAAAGCTCTACTTGAAAAGGAAATGGCAAATATAAAAGTGGGCGGTAAACAACCTGCAGCTAAAGTAACTAGAGCAGAAATAGTTGCTGCAACAGAAAAACGGAATCAAGCAGCAATGAAAAAAAGAGAAGAAGAAAAACCAATTGAAGAGAATTTAAATAGGTTAACAATTGAAGGTGAAACTGCTCATGGTATTGATGAAGCTTTATCTGTTTTAAGGTAAGATTGATTATTATATTGACATTTTGAATAATAATATTTATATTATAACATTAAAAGTATCTTATTGTTATTTTTCATTTTTATTTAGTTCAAAAGAAGCAGAAATTGATCGTCATCCAGAAAAACGTGTAAAAGCTGCATATGCGAGTTTTGAAGAAAGAATGATGCCTATTATCAAAGAACAAAACCCTACTCTGAGGTTAAGTCAATTAAAACAAATATTAAAAAAGGAATGGATGAAATCTCCAGAAAATCCACTTAATCAAAAATTACTTCTAAATCGTTGATATTAAACGGTGTTTGATGGAATATAAACACATATGACTGATTAGGTTCGAAGGAACACGTGAAATGAGACTCATAAATGTAATCATGAACGAATCAAATATCTGTACACAATTTTATTGTAAACGAATAAGTTATACTCCCGGTAGAATACATAAAATAAGACTATATAAATCATCTTTGGTATAACTTATACGCTACTACATAGCCTCTACATTGTATATTACAATTTCATTTACAAACAAATCTTTAAATCCGAAAATTCAAAGAAAACAGGTTAACAATCGTGTACATGTTTTGGCACAGTTACTCTGCAGACTTATACAACTTTACAGATACGAGTATCTTATCGGTATCTTTTTCATTTACAATATTAGACAAATGTTTATAAAAAAATAATTATACGAAAACTTGGTTACTTCATTTCAATTGTATAAAATAGAATTCTATACAAACAAATTTTCACCAATGTGAAATATAGATTATGTACAATAGATCGTAATCTTTTTTTATTTCGATGCGTTAAATTCGTTTCAACAGATTAAGCATAAGGCACCATAACTTCTTTTTTCTTCATATGTAATGAGTGAAATACCCGTACTAAGAACTTGATTTAAATTTTCTTATATAGTATCGTGGTCCACGGACTGTCTTTTTTATAAACATACTTATTTAATTATTTTATGCTACCATTTCTTATTTTTCCATAAATCTATGAAACAATGTATCATATGATTGACTTGCTCCGGGCAATCAGTCATAGGTGTATGGCCAGCAGTTGGAATCGCTTCGAGGAAAACTTTCACCATGGTCTAAAATATGAAACGTAACAATTACAATTAATATTAAAAAAAAAACGAAATAAAAATTATTTTTAGATTATCGCTATTATATTACACGTCTTGAGAGAGTCGAAACTTTAAATATTTGCAATCTAAGATAAGATAAATATTTTAAAATTAATAAAAGTATTTAAAAAAATTTTAATGTGAAATTTTAATAATTACGTGTAGCTCAAATTGTTTCGAATGTTACTAAAGAATTGAATAATTTGAAAAAATTAATTTATGTGAATTAATTCTAAATATTTTTGTTTTATTTTTATTCTTTTTTATATACTATTAATTATGAATTTTATTATTTTTTTTCTATTCTTAAACATTTAAAACAATTTGAACTATTCGGTTCCTTCAAATTCTCTATTGAAAATCGAGTTTCGGCTCCATATTTCAAGATATTCGAATATTCAAGATTATGTTGACAACATTACAACATACCCTTTCCATTTGACATTCTTGCACAAGTGATACTTTGTTATCCCTTAAGCCATGTATGAGAAGTGTCGGCGTGCATATCCTTCTATGGAACACGTAGTCTCCTTCCGGCCAAACCATGCCGTCCAAAACGTATTTCATGTGCGAAGGCCATTGTTCAGATGGTTCGGGGCCACAATAAGGATGCTGACGACCTCTTGCAGAATATAATATATCTCTGTGAAGGCCACACATTAAAAAAGGCGCCAGGACAGCTCTGAGGCAACAGTGGCCAGCACTTTCAGTACTAGGTGCTGCTAAAGGAGTTGGACCACCTCCTGATATCAGGACTAGTTGATGAATACTACTATCGTATTTACAGGCCAAAGCAGCTGCAAAACTGCATCTGTAATGAATAAAAAATTATGCAACAACTGTTTCATTTTTGTATATGTTATATTTTTTCTATATTGATATAATATGTATTTTATTTTTACCAAAATTATCATATTTTCTTTGATTTGATCTTGATCATAGTCTAGTTTTATTAATTGAGTTTAATTTTTGTTTGTTTAATGTTTTATATATAAAATATTATGTATAAGATAAATTGATTTATTAAGATTAGATTTGAAAACCAAAATGTAATAAATAATATTGTTCATCTTTTACAAAGAAATAATTTTAAAATTTAATCAATTAAATGTTGTAAAAACTCTTTTTTTATGAATTCCGAAAGTAAATATATTTTTTTATTCAATTAAAATATAATTATCAATATAAATAATTAATCAAATAATTATATTTAATTAATTAACAAATAACTCATTATTATTTACATATTATTTACATTAAATTATATGTAATTATGCAAATATTACTTTATTTCAAAAACAAATATTATTTGATCTCAGCTTATCTCAAATTGCATTCCTTAATCTCTTGTTTATTAAATCTTATAATATTAAATCACGCTTATGATAGATTCAATAAATAATAATTGTATTCCTAAAAAGATCTCATTTTAATTCTAGATAGAGATATTATTACTTTGAATTTTTAAATAGATAAAATAAGCCTAAAAATAAGATTAAAAAAATAAAAAAATATTGAATGAAATTAAGAACTTTATAAAATCTACAAATAAATAAATAAAAAAAAACTAATATAATAGATCAATTCATTGTTGCTGAAAATTAGCACGAAAACTCTACATACAATTCTTTATCGATTTTTTAATAATTTTTTGAAAGACTCATTAATAAATTCTAGAAATCTCTTTTATTTTGTCGCATAATATCCTTTCCTTGTATAATTCATACTGCGTGCTCGCAAACGCATTTATTGTGATCTTAACTGATTGTCGCAATCTGTGTAGGATACAAATGTTAATTTTTATAACAAAACAGCTATTGAACTGTATAAACGTGGTTTCTGGACTCGGCCTACACGTTGTGTTGCAATGTCGCGCAGACAATTATCCAGATAATAGAACAAACTTTGTTATTACGGCATCGTCTCGTGTAGGATTTGATTGCGAGCTGAATAACCGTATTCATTAATGATTTGTATTATAAAAAAATCAAGAAGCTTTCGTAAAACATGAATAAAATCATTAGGAAATTACGCCATTCTTTGTTGTACTTGAAGAATTATATTGAACCTTCATCTGTTTCTTTTTTCCAAGTTCTGAAAATTTAAATTAAGATCCAAACTTGATGTATCTAAATATAAAAAAAATAGAAGAATTTAAGAATATAAGGAAAAAATACTATAAGAACAGTTGTTGCAAAATATTCAATTAAAGATGATACAAGTTACCAATAAAAGATTCCGATTAAAGTAGTTTCCACTATCTGCAGAATATCATGAAAAAAGAATGTAAAGGAATAAAATCGTTTACATGCTCTTTTAATACAAATTATTAGGTGCGTTTCACGTGAATCTCTGACAGATACCGTCTCGCAGATTTACGAGTAATGTCCAGATAAGATACAAGCGATATACCCGCCATATGTTACAACTTGCAAATCTTTTCCTGCTTTTTTTTCCTTTCCCTATCGTCGAGAACTGAGAACAAAATATCGTTAATAAAATACGAATACACTTAATATCAACCGAAGATTAATCGTAGATGACTATTTTCTAATTTCAAAAGCAAATCGTTACGGATCAAGTGATATGAAACATAGATCGCAGAATTTGTAATTCAAATGATTTTGTATCTGCTTCAACACGCGTTGATCTATATTTAAAAGTAAAACTATGAATTGTTAAATATCAATATCTAATTCGTACTACTTTCTTTAATTAAAATATCTCGTTTAGCATTTATTGCATTTTTCAAAATATATTGAAATATATTTAAATTTTAAAAAGTTGAAAAGTTTTACTTTTCTAGAATCAAATTTAAGAAAATGATGAAAAAGTTCACGTGTGTTTCGAAATGCTACAGAGAATATTTTAAATAAAGAGATCTTACTTACACCCCAATAAAAAGATGCAATCTTCATTCCTTTGTCCCACGATATTTCTTTCAACTTATTTATTCCAGTAACTAAAAACAGGGACATTTGACGCTCGACAGAATTCACTCTTCGCCTCGCATCTCTTCCATCAACTTATACACATCACACAGAGGATAAATTGCAATGTTCTCAAGAGAAGAAGAATGATCGATGACAAAAAGCGTTCAAGTATGAAGATACGGCGTACAAAGTAAAACGTTCAGATGTTCGCAGAGGACGTAAAAATAAATCGATCACCCCTGCGAATTTGAAGAACTCGTGGAACGCGGATTAAATACGCGTTCAAGTTTGCCCATTAGCCATTTTGCGCGGGTAAACGCGTGCAGCCGATCGGATTGGACGCGCAAACGATTCAAACGTCAAGGAATTTTATAATCATCGGAAAGATATTCGATAAGGAAATGTGGTGTCTTGTCTGTATCCCGTAATTACGATACATCGGATACTTTTAAATGGTCCGAGATAAGTTATGCGATTATGGGCCACGTTTTCTACTAGTCACGGTCAAATAATTTTATAATGGTAATGAACGAGGACACAACCGAGGTCATCGCATTCCTCCGGGGTTCAATTATTATTATTAGAGGCGGAATCAAGTGTACGATTGACCCTTGTTCGATTTCAATTGTCAATCGATCTTTTCTTCTTTTTCTTCTTCGAGAAATTTCGATATGTATTCATATTGTTCTTTTTTTAATTAGGTTTGATAAAGTAGGAAGAGATGGATCGAAATTCTCGAATATGAAATTCGTGAAGTTTCGAAAGTGTATAAAATGTATACAGAATATGCAAATATCTACGAATATGAAATATCCGATAAAATATTTAGCAAATGAATAATTTCTATTCAATTTCAATTCTTTTAGTTGTATTTGAAATTACTTTTTATATTTTAATTTTATTTTATTTTTTTTATTTGATAATTATAAAATGATTTAAAGGTGTTCACTAAGACGATACTGATGACTTCGACCATGAAATGATTTTATTCGTAATAAGTGAATGCACGCGACAATTGTCTGCTATTCAGGGACACTGTGTGCCTATTTATACTAACTAATAGCAATATCATGTGATTCATAGCTTGAATATATTAAAATTTAATTCATTAATTCTCTATAAATGATAATAGACTAGAAATAACTCTATTTTTTTCTTTTTCTTTTTTAATTTATTCCATTTCAAGAGAAAAATTACCGAATAAAATAATGAAAAGGAAATTACATGCTCGTTTCATATCGTGTAAATTCCTTTAACTAAAAAAATGAGTAAAATGTATCAAATCACTACAACATTATTTTCTTTTTCCCCTTCCAAAAAAAAAAAATCAAAAATAAAAATGAAATAATTACCCATAATTGTGTGCAACCAGGACACATTTCTGGCCAGGTTTGAAAGCATAGTGACACAATATGGTATCCAAATCTTTAAGCAGCTTGTTAAAATGATAATCCCTGGATCGATCAGGTGCCGAGCTCATTCCGTGTCCCAGCATATCAGGCGCGATGCATGGATAGCCCAAAGAGGAGAAATATCGAAGCTGATGCTCGAAGATATCCGCCGACGATCCAAATCCGTGCAGGAATACGATCATCGGCTTCCGGTTCTTCCGAAACGTGATCAGATCCCGGGGATTTTGCTCGTAACAGGTCGAAGTGGCGTTTTCCTCGATGTTCGGCCACGTCTTCCTGTAATCCTCGAGCTCGATGGACACGGCTTCCTTCTTCATCTCGAACGTGCCCATTTTCTCGTTCCAGCTGCACTTTTCCAAAGAGCATCGGTCAGGCTCGTCGATCGGATTCGCGGTGAACTTTTCCCGCAGCGCCGCGATCGCGTTACCCTTTTTGGCCCCGAAGGACGACTCGTCGTCGTTGTCCTTGAATTCCAGCCGTAGTTTCTCGAAACTGGGCTCGTTAACAGTTTCCTCCAGCTCCTTCAGATCCACCGCGGGCACGCCACTCTCGAGATTATCCGTCGAGATATCGATTCCACCGGCGGTTTGAACGCTCGAATCCTGAGGCTCGCTCCTTTCCGCATCATTCTTCCCGGTGACCTCCGATCTCC